CTCAACCTATTGATCAACATTGATTAATGATTTGTAGGTGTTCGAATAGCAAAGTATCGATGTTTTTATTTATTCATTCGTTCATACAGGCACTTTATTTCTAAGCATTAATTCTATAGTGACCATGGGCTAACGTTTCAATGTTTCCAGGTAGGATATGTCGTTTATCATCGTTGGCACTTAAAGCAATTTTCTCTTGTTCGATGGTATAGACATTGTGCATTTTTGATCTAAAAGTGCTTTGAGTCTTTACAACACTTTTCATTGTTCTTAAACATTCTAGGTAGTCTTTATACTCTATTTCTTTTCTCAACACACAGTTTTTGACTCCCTTCGCCTTCTTCATTTTATCATTTACTTTGTCGTTACCCGTCAAAATGCAATACATTTTACTTCTCAAACCGACAAAGCCTAATATTATCATTGATTTCAGCTCATCTTTGAATAGCCCAGGTACCTTTTTGTTTACTAGTGGTATCTGATATACATTGTGTTCAGGGTAGTCACTTGTATCATAGCGTTCTAAATTTTCTTTCATATCAGCATAGAAGTCATCTGTCTTTACTTCTAATACAAAAGAATCAGTATCGGTGTAAGCAATAGAAATGTTTGAGCCATATTTGGGTTTCAAGAAGTTGTAATAATAGTCATACATGACCACCTTTGAAATGTCCAAAACACCCATGCCGACAGATATTGGCTTATTCATAAGAATGTTCGTTCTACCCATTTCAATTGCAACTAAGTCTTCATCAAAAATTGTATGTCTTTTGAAATTAGGCCTAGAAACTAATTCACGTGCACCGTTGCGACCGTCCCAACTAGTTTTCAAATAAATGTCAACGCGAGATCTAACATTTTCCATGGATTTACCGAAAATCGCATTGTTCATCAGTTTGTAAAGCTCTTTCTCAAATTCATTGTCCGCTTTGGCACGTAGACCCGAATTAAGATCTATGTATGATTTCAACCAAGTGGTTTGTTCAAACTGTAGTGCCCGGTGCACCTTCTTCAATACTAATCCGTGTTGTAAGGCTAACTTTAACATTCTATAGTGAATTACATAGTTATTTTTCTCGGTCAACGTTAATAACAATTTCTTACTGTTTTTTGTATTCGGTGCGAGCTTGTGTTCGGCACAGAATGGGTAGTCGTTGTGTAAATCGTGTAAAGATTCAGGATATTCTAAATCTACTTCAAACATATAACCTATTTTAGCATCGTCGGCAATGTTTAAAATTTCTTCGACGTTAAAATCTTTTTCACACCACTGAAATCCTCTGATCGGGAGATGCTGCATCATTGAATATCCGTAAAGATTGTTACAATCGACATAGATGATTTTTTATTTATTTATTTTTTATTTATTTATTTCACACCGCCAAAAACTGGCTGAATATTTTGGTTTGCAGGAAAACGACTCCAAGAGTCGTGAAAAACCTGATCTTTTTGTGTTTGTACAATATATGGTAATTTTATACAATAAATAGTTATAATAGTCTTTCTCGATTGGTATAATAATTTGGTCTAAAAGCATTGACACAAGATAACCCAACCAATACATGGAAATGCATAGGTAGCCGAAATGTAAACGGTTCAATATAGCCTAACTTAAACGTGTAAAAAATGAAAGACTAACTGAAGCGTTAACACTGTAGTGACGGCCCTAATGACTGCAAAAGTCATCATTCAATTTATCCAGAGGTGATACATTGAAGAAAAGTTTTACGTCTAATCTAACAAGTCCCTGTTGGTAGTTATGAATTTGTAATTTAGTAGAGACCGAAAGACATAAGAACAAATTTACAATATTTGCAAATACATTTACATAAACGGTAGTTCCAATTATAAAGTAATGGTAGGTCAAAAGTTAATCACCAACTCAATGGATGGCTATATCACAGTTAATGTTGCTACTTATTTTGAAGTTTGTGTAAAAATCACAGATAAATATCATTATTTCTATACATTTTGTAGGGATGTAAGATAACAATTTGTCAATATTTAATATTAAACTTCTGGCTTTGTTCGCTGCGTACCGACGAGATGAAGTTTGCACGGCTGGTTGAGTCATTGAATTGATCAGCCACTCTGTTTGCGAATTTGCACATTTGAGGCACTTGAGCTCTGATTTGTTTGTCCATGAGCCTATCTTTAATCTTGAGGTAGTCTGTGTGCCGTAACCTACGTACGCTCTCTCCTATTGCGATGTCGTTGCGTACATTGGGACAATTTGCGATCCCATTCACGATGTCGTACATGAATACAATTGATGCATTCACCCTCCTACGCTCCAACGATGTCATGTTCAACGCCTCAAGTCGTTTGTTGTAGTCGGTGATACTGTAGCCGTTGGCCGCTGTACGGTACTCTCTTCGGGCGAACTGGGTAAATTTTCTCAAAACGCTCTCAATTTTGTCGATATGCACGGCATAAGTTGGTAGCCATACAACATTGCAGTACTCAAGATGATACTGGACTAGTGCGTAGTATAGTGTTTTGAGCGTTTGATGTAGGTGATGTGGGTAGACTCTTTTTCTTTATCGAATGTCTCCATATACTTATTATTAGCCTCAACGTGACGTTTGCTACATTGGCTGATTCCACCACGTATTCCTGTGAATTATACAAAACAATTCACGGTTAGGTATTGAAGATTTTATACGTAAAATGCTTGAAGAACAATTACCTCTTTCAACGAAGAGAAGCATATCCACATCCGTTAATAGTGACAATTCCACTTTTGTATAACGTAGCATAGCATCGAACGATAAACCTGGTGATGTGTAATAGTTGGCCGGGTCTAGCTTGTAAATTTGATGACATGTTTCTCTGAAGTTCTCGAACACAATTGCCAGTAGGCAGACATCGACTTTTAGATATAAATCGGCATATTCACCGAGAGTTTTCACATTGAATTTATTCCAAACTTCAGTCGCGAACGCATAATCCTTATCGGAAACTTTTTCATCAGTTAGTTTGCTATAGAATGCTTCTTTTGAGGGTAGTTCAGTCTCTTCAAGTCTCTCCCATGAATCAACGTAATCGTAACAGAAAACCCATTTTCTTTCCAGGAGTTGCATTTGTTCGTCACTTATATCTTTGAACTCATTTCGAAGTAATGTTTTTTTGTCCGATGGTATTAGCGACGATAAACGATCAAGTGATGAGGCCATGAATCGGAAGCTGTCGATAAATTTGAACTTGATCATGCAGTTGAATTTGTTCGAACTGTCGGCAGCAGTTTTTATAAATGAAATGTATTTTTCCTTATTAATTGAAATGACTCTCAATTCTCCGGGAAAACCTACTGCAAGCTCCCGTATAAGGAAATGTGAATCGTAATTTGATAAGTTGTGGAATACAACAGGCACAGTACGACTATCGCGATATTCTAAATTGCAGGACTGATGTGCAGCACCTCTGTATTCACCGGTAAAATGACAATGATCTCGCACTGCCGGTCCCTTGTAACTCATTGCAAGACCCTCCCCGCAAATATGACATATAACAGCGTTTTCGAAGTTTTCTATGTCTTCTGCACTCATTCTCAGTGGTTGCGAATTATCATAAATTTGATTGAAAATTGATGATGCGTCGTGCAATTCTTTCACAAACCACTCGATACAATCCTTTCCGCGATAGGATTTATAAAACGGTTTTGAGTCATCAAATTCACATTTGAAGTAATAGCCGATGCTATAGACCTCATGTTTTTGATATGCAACAGTTTTTACGGGTTTGTTACCATATTGCTTGCAGAACGGTTCGGTAGGTGTTTTCAAAAGCGCCTTAACATCTGCGTATATAACAAATGGAGCCTTCAATTGGTTCTTGGTATTTCTGAATTTAATTATATCGTCTCCTCCGGCAGGCATCTCGATTCCGCATACGTTTTGTTTACCGCAATTTATACGATCTTCTTCCAATAATGCGAGACGATGAAAGTAATTTAAACATCGGTCACAGAAATAATGTCGTCCACGGTGACTCGAAACTTGATTTGAAATCAGGCGACTCAAGTCTTTAATCCAGCAGTAGTGAGTCTTGGAGTCCATCACATCGTCAGGATTATCGGACCGTTGAGTCAGTAAAAGTAGGTGGATATGATTGCGTTTAACTTCGGGTGTAATTCGCACTGGTTCAATTTTTTCGTCTTTAGCCTTATACATGTATACATTAATAGATATTAGGGGTTTAGCTCTTCGAATTTTTTGATGTCACGAAGTTTCACTGGAAACTCGATTCCTGTAAAATCAAGTTCATCTTTGTATTGAACATAACTTTTACATCGATCAACATTCTTAGCAGCTGGATAAAGTGCAGATGACACTGCCCACATAAAACAATTATTATCTGTTTTGTTATTTACATTGATAATAGCTTTTTTGTTGGCCAAGTATTTCGGCAATTTTATGTACGATGCTCCTTTTATAGGATCATATCTGTTTACTTGCACGACAAGCTCGTTAATCGATGATAAAGTAAATCCTGACCCACGCATGACCGCTTCCTCGACCTTCTTCAATATAGACGTAATGACACTATCTTCGAACAAGTCTGTATCGATGTCGATCATCTCAGTTTCCGTATGCAGATAAAGTGTCTGTTTCTCTTTTCGCTCCTCTTGAACATGGTCCACGTCCATCTGACTCCCATCTTCGTCAACTTCCATTTTTTCACCTTCATCAACATCCATTTTTTCCAGCACATTTTTCACATTTTGCACTACAAGTTTTTCAAATGTTGCACAAAAACATGTGCTCACTTTAATGATAGGATGAGTATTTAAAATTTGCGAGATTTCATTTTCATAATAGTTGTACGCGTCAAACAAGAATTCTTTAATATCAATATGTTCACGATTCACTATAGCGAACGTTAACATTCTCCTGTTGAACGCCATTTCACGATACTCAAACTAAATTTTCAGAGCCATTTTTTACGGAAATTCACACTCAAGATTGTTTCCCTTGAAAGGTTGAACAAAAACTATCAATATTTTCAGTCAGATCCGCGTTTATATTTTCTCGAAACACCGCTCATCTAACCGATAATATCCAACGGCGGACGGATCATTTTTTTTTCTGTGGGAAAGAATTCCACCTTCGAATTCTATTGATCGAGATATACCGATCTCTTAAGGGATGGGTGCAGTTGGACATTTCTTTCAAACACCTCAACCTATTGATCAACATTGATTAATGATTTGTAGGTGTTCGAAT